GAGAAAAATGGGGGGAAAATGGGGAAAAATGGGGGAAAATGAGGAAGAAAGAGGGAAAAATGGGGGAAAGATGGAGAAAAAGCGGGGAAAATGGGGAAAATGGGGAAAAATGGGGGAAAATGAGGAAGAAAGAGGGGAAAATGGGGGAAAAATGGGGAAAAATGGAGAAAAGTGGGGGAAAATGGGAAAAAAAATAGGGAAAAATGTGTGGAATTGGGTCAATCCCTCTCCCCCCTCCCGGGCCCGAATGGTTCCGTCCGCTCCAGGCCACGCCCCCTCAGCGCACGCGCACCCCTCGGGAAATGCCCAAATAAGGTCATTGGCCACGCCCCCTCGAGAATCGGCCAATCAGAGCGCGCCTCCGCGGGTTTGGCCACGCCTTTTTTACATGCAGACCCCGCCCCCTTCAGGCCCCGCCCATTTTACCTGTCACCCGCCCGGCTCCACCCCCTCATTAGCATATAATTATAATTTAAATGAATTTAAATTAATTTAAATTTACCGTCCACCTCGTCCAGCTCCGCCCCCTCATTAACATATAATTATAATTTAAATTAATTTAAATTTACCGTCCACCTCGTCCAGCTCCGCCCCCTCCAGGCCTCGCCCATTTTACCTGTTTTCGCCCCTCATTAACATATAATTTTAATTTAAATTAATTTAAATTTACCGCCCACCTCCGCCCCCTCAGGCCCCGCCCATTTTACCTGTTCCCGCCCCTAATTAGCATATAATTATAATTTAATTTAAATTTACCGTCCACCTCGTCCAGCTCCGCCCCCTCCAGGTCCAGCTCCGCCTCCAGCTCCGCCTCCAGCGGCGCCTCCACCGCCGCCACCTGCGGCAAAACCGCGTCGGCAACGCCGCCATCCCCCGCAAAACCCCTTCCGCCACCCCGAAAAACCCAAAAAAACCCCAAAAAATTAAAAAAAAACCAAAAAAAACCCCTGAAATTGTTCCCGGTGCCGACGTTACCTCAGCCTGCGCCGCCATCTTGGCCGCGCGCTTTACGCAGGCGCCGCGCTGACGTCACTTCCGGCTCACTTCCGGCTTCTCCTCCCCTTTCCCTCAGCGGAGCCCCGCGGAGGCCGCAGCCATGGTGAGGGAGAGCGCGGGCGGAATCCGCCGCCATCGGGGCGCGGGGATGGCGCAGCGCGGCGGGAAAGGCGCGGGGTGATGGAGGAGGCGGTGAGGGAGGAGGTGGGGTGGGAATGGAGCGGCGGCGCGGGGTGATGGCGGCGGGAGAGGCGCGGATGTGCGGCCCCCCCCCCCCTCAGGTCGGGTGTCATGGCGGACTCGGGTCCCCTCAGGGCGGTCTCGGTCCCCTCACGGTGGCACCG